GCGAGGAAGTCAGCGTCATGCAATGCAACGACTGATCGGATCGGAATATCGTAACAATGAAGCTGAGAAACTCAAGCCGCTTATTTCAGCTGCGTTGTGTTTAATTACTAGGACTCCTCGTTGGAAAAGGGTATATCAGGGCCTGTGCTCCGGTTCAAAAAGGTGTGACAGGGACAATTTTACAGCAGCTACCGAGCGGTTGACGTGACGTCATTGAAGATTTGGCGGCCGGCGGATTCCGCCTTACAACGCACACGGAGATGATGCTATTACGCAATCACCGATCTCATTCGGTTGACTGTGGCATCCAACTGATACGCACTTTTCTCTGTACATTGGATCCATAACAACGTATCTACGTTCATGTGGTGCCACGGATTTTTGAGGGGGGCTCTTTCCGGGGGGGGCTCCTGGGCAAAATGAGGCCTCCTCACAAAGAACCTCCTGGACAGTGTCGTATTCAAGGAAAGGAGCACCGAGGGTATGGTGCCCTTACCAAATTGTCACATCCATCACTCCACGTAAAGTTCTATAATTTAAAAATCCCGAATGACGCCCCCCTGCTCTACAAAGGGCCTCCTGAGGCAAGGGGGACCCTCTTATTCAGACAGGATGCTTCTTGATTTAAGAAGGGGCCCCAAACCTAGTCAAGGGCCTTGTCATCCCAAAATAAGTTCACCTGTGACCCAGAACCTGATCATCTAATGGTGAAAGGCACCTTCTGTTCCAGAAATGGGCCTCCTGGATATACAGGGTGCCTTCTAACCCAGAATGGGGCTTCCCAAGCGAGCAAAAGGGCCATCTAAGCACAAAATTGGGCCTACTGATTTAGAAGATGGGACACCTATTCTTAAAGGTTGGCCTTCACTGAATCCAGAAACCGTGTCTCTCTCTTGATGGCAGGAAAGTCTCCTGAGGTGTCCGAGTCGATTCATTCCTCTATCGTCACTTATGGAGGCCTCCTCGACCTGCATTTCGATAATCTGTGGGGAGGCTGCAATGCCCTTAGTTCGTGAAGAAACTGGCTGTCCTCCGCGCAGCGCACGGTGCATGCAGTTAGTGCGTTCGCACTAGCCGTGTGCACAGGTGCATGTCACATCTTAAATGACGTCACGGCAGGCACGCCCTCCGATTTGCTGGTCTGAACGGAGGTTATGACCTTCCCCGTCCCATGCTTAAGGAGCTGAATGTACCCCTGGATGGCCTCATGCTCTCCAAGGATCGCCCGATATTCAGTCCGGTACAGGGAGTCCTCCAGTGATGCATACGAGCACTGCATTCCGCAAACGACTTCCGACCATTTCAGGCCTCACTCTTATGTCGTATAAGCTCCGATAAATTCAAAACAAAAAACGGATCATTCGCATGAATAGAAAAATACATGAATATAAACAAATGAGTCCACTGAGGAAACCAAATGGGGTAGTGGTTGGAAATTTATGTTTGTCCAAGAATTTTCACCTGCCAAAGGCATGTTTATATTTGGTCGGCCGCCGCAACTTTATCTGAAGTGACCAGAAACAGGCAACGGCCAACGTGATGAGGATTTGGGCTTTAAGGCGCGCCGACCCGCCCCAACAATACTGCCGCCCAGGAAACCGACCCAAAAACGAAAAACAACGATCTATCACGATCGTCAGTCACATGCGGAGCCCACTAAACAAGCATTCCAGCTGCCATGGCACATCCAATTCCAGATATCCACACCTGCGCGCCCTCGTCTGCTTACCATGGCCACGTACTTGTACGTCAGCGCCACCCGCCGGATGTGGTCAAACTCCCGCTCCAGGTTGTAGGCCCACACCTCCCGAATGCCACACTCCTCGTTGCTGGGCGTGTGCTGCATCGCACCCTGCGACGTGACGGGCCACGAGACGCCCTGCGACGACCCCGGCCACGAGCCGCCCTCTGCGCGCAGATAGCCTCCTGTGATTGCCCAGTCATGTTATGTGGAGATGGGGAGGGGAGTCGGTTACAGTGTGTACTGCGGGGTGTTCCAGATATTCATGAGGTACAGCCATACAGCCAAACACAAAAAAGAAGCACAAGTTTTCCAGTTTTACATGCCTTGATTATGGTTTTTGTGACATATTTCAGCACAATACTGTTTGAGGAAGCTTGGGAAAGCAATACAAGTATGTATCTGGCCTACCATTCCTACTGTCAGCATAAACCCTCTTGTACAATATTTCATGGGAAAGGGACTTAAAGACACATTGCTCTCAATAAAAAAGTTTCCAACAGCACTGCTCATTGTTTTTTTTTGTGGGGGGGAGGAGGGGGAGAAGCCAAGGTGAAATCAACCAACCTTAATCAACCAACCCAAGACCAGTGAAGCCTTATCAGCCTGACTGGTCTTATTGCAGGCTCCGTATGTGCATCACAGAGGTGCCAGTAGTATAGCTTTGTACTGACTTTTTATTGCATTTGTGTACCAAATTTGCACTGCCAGCCATTGCCAATTAAATTGAAAATTTGAATGCAATCATCATCTTGCAAGGTGTTACTCCATGCAGCATAGCTGCATTAGGTGCTGGATGATGTACAATTCATCTCTAGGATAAAATGCTGCACCTGGCTAAAGAAGCATTCAACCATAACATGAGCCATGCTCAGTGGTCTTGGGTCACATATTCAAGTGCAAAACAGTGTACAAATTATACTAACTGCAGCCCATGCATTGCTTATATTGTTATGTTAACTTGTTGTCTCTGTTATCTTGACTTAACAGGACATATTGCAACTACATTTTGCTGACATAATGAATGAAATGACAAGTCCTGCATCTATGTTTCTGCCATTTGATGCTAATGATAACCAGCATGGCAAATATTTGTCCAAGAAAACTCAGAAGGCAGCCCTGATCTCCCTATACCTGCAATGCTGCAATGCTGCAATGCCCTGACTTGACCGAGGACTGAGGTGGAGCATGGCCAGTCCAGTATGTCAGTAAGCCCTTACCACTGACCACATGACAGCACAAGACAGCAGACTAGATGACCCAGGTGTGGCTGCACCAGTCCCGGGACATGGTATTGTCTAGATCTGGCCTAGCAGCAGTCTATAACCGGACCATGTCACCAGACTGTGTCACCAGCTTGCAACAACATTTGCCATTATAGCTTTATGATGGCATTAAATATCAGGACACTCTTTTTATGTGAAAGTTCATAAGTAAACATACAGCAGCTTCTACCCCAGTAAAGTAAACAGATTCCCTTGCTGTCCATAACCAAATTTTGTATTTGTCAATACATTTATCATAGACAGTACTTTTCACATTAGGGTAACTCTTATTGACCTTAGGTTAAAATTTAAATGCCACCTCACAATAACTATCTGCAATTTTCATTTCCATTCTCAGAAAATCCTGGCACATGGGGTCTGACAACAATGGTACCTTTAAGTTGATGCTGTGCACCCACAGACAAAATTTAATGTGTTTACACCAATGACATTTGATCAAACTACAGAAACATCTCAAACACAATTAATTATGACAGCCACCTATGCAGCATATCAATAGGTTAAGCACTTACCATTGCCATTCTGAATGGCCATGCTGGCCAGATGTCACGTAAACTTTCTGAAAATATTACCGAGAAGGTTACTTGCAGGTTAACAATGTGTTGCCAATTTGTCAAAATGTGGAAATTTGCATTCACCTACAACAGATATATCTAATGTTACGCACGCCGATTCATACACTTTACACAGCCCTGGATGTACCGCCGGCGTACGCCTCGCATTTCCTAAACCAGCCAAAATCACCTACATCTAAATGGGAAAACGCACAAAAATAGTTTTAGTAGCTGTGCTTTATAGTATTGAAGACCTCTGGTACATTTAATAAGCTCTATGTGTTATATAACAACAATAAACAGCCGTCGCCCCCTCACCTCCCCAACTAGCCTTTATGAACTAACCAATACAATGTTGCCGCCTTGTTTTTAGTGAGCGTACCAAACAGATGCATAAAATGTACCAGATTTGCACACCGGCATACCGGGCAGGCGTACAAAATATACCAGCTCTACAAGCCAGTGTACCATGGAATTTGTGGCCCGCATGCATCCAACGTCATCTGTTCGGATGACGTTGCAGCTTAGCACGCGCCCGAGTATCCGACTGGATA